AATTTTTTTTCATAGGCTGAAAATGACAAATCTTCTGCGTGTTTCCATGGCAATTTGGTTTAACATATGTTACCACCTATGTAGAGGAGTGGCCCCACATACTGCCCAAGCGCTTACGGGAGAATCTGGAGAGATGGTAGGCTAAGGATTATTTAAATTCGAGATTGTCAATCATAGACATATTTATGGCTACGATTGGGGCACTAAAATTGTCCGAGTGTATTAAGGAGGGCAAATAACTAGTTGATAGGGATCTGAACTGAAAGATGTCCGAGTTTCGGAAGTACAAACCTTCAAAAGAAAGAGATTTGGCATTTCACAACATACTGTTGTAAGAACAAAAAACGGAAGGGCAAAACAGGAAGTTGTTCGGACAACAATCTAATAATCTCTACGTGCGTTTGCTCATTGCGGACCAGTGATATTGATTGACGCTGCACACATGCATATTTACATTCGCCATCATATTTTCATTGAAGATTTTGACTTGCGAAGCAGAGCAATGCCTCCAATGAAAGTCGCAACCATGATCCCCACCACCAACCTTAAAAACATCAAAGAAGCTAGATCGTGGTCTTCATCATCATTATTACTGTGATCAGCTATTGTGAAATTGGTAAGCTCAACGTTACCCAGCAAGGAACATAAAATTGATTAAAACATTAGTCCTTTCTCATCTGGTGCCAGCTCACTTGGCAGAGCGAAAAAACTGTAGATGTGAGCAGGTATCTTTAGGTCTAAATTGGCCTCGCAAGAGCTCTATGTGCTATGGCTCCCTTCATTGCGTTGGTTGCACCAAAGAACGCTCTTCTCCAGTATCCATTGCCCCCTTCCCTCTACTCCCCATGTATTTATCTATGTCCTTTCGTAAGCATGGTGGTCTCACGTGTCATACACTTATGACATTAGTGCGGACGAGAAATCTCGAGTCTACAAGTACTGCCTTTTGTTACATGCTGATGCTGAAGTAGGCTCAACCACTTAGGTTATAATCATTTCCCTTATGTTTAATGCATTTATACAATTGCCTTGTTGGCGCATGAGCGATGAAGTTTGGTTGTGTTGACAGTGCCTAATCTCTCAGTTGATTTGCTTATAATTATTATTTTTCGACTTCATGGCGCGGAACTTATTTCAGTAGCGCTATTAGATCGTGTTCGATTTTGTGGCATTTGACCTTTATTTTTTATGATAAATGATTCCACCAAAAAGTGTCGCAAATATATTCGTCGAGTTCCTATGAATCATTAAGCAAGAGGTATCAAATCTGTAATTTGAGAAGGTCAAAGACATTATTTATTATGATTTTACCCTTTTTCACTTCTAGATTTGAATTTTTTGTCTCCTGATGCCTACCGTAGGAATTCCTCTAACCGAGTCACGCTCTAACGTATTTTCCCGCTTTTACGCCGCGGTTGTTTCAGCATGCTCTCGAGTCTATGCGAGTACACTACTTCTCCGTTCCTCCTTCATTTTATCTTTTAAGTAGTGCTTCTAGTTGCCTACTTTCATTCATTCACCATTTCTGTGCTACTTCTTCGAATTTATAGCGGTATTCGAGGAGGCAAAGGAGAGATGACCATACCTTATTATGCTCGGACTACTTGATACCCCTCTCAGATTGGCCTATAACTGTCGGCTTTTGGCTTTGATTCTATGCATTTGCTAAAGTGTTGTTTGGGCTTGGGGGAAATATCCATTTTTATGCCACTATATCAAATTTCATTACTGAATAACGCACAAAGAATCCGCGCTTTGCAAACGGAGGATAAGCTGCATTGCTATTTGAAGGACGGCTTTTGCATACAGTAATGTACATTTGAAATATTATTTCTACGGTTTAAGGGATATCGCTAGTTCTTGCATAAGTAATTGAAAAATTACACATAAGTGGCGATTAATAGCTGCCCTGCTGAGGCGGCGGTGTCACAACAACACCTAGCATTCCGACCTAGAGATTGCGAAAATATGACTTTCAGCCCTTTAATTAAGTTTTCGATAGAAGTATTATCTGGCCATTTAGGACAATCGAGTTTGGGCAAATCGGTCTGTTCCTTACTTGCAATGAATTTTTGTTGGATTATAATTTTATCAACTGGGCATGTTGGGAAAGGGTCGGAGTTTGACGGGACATAGCGGAACATGTGTGGACGTCTTAGTGAAATGAACCTTTACTTCCCTTCCTAAATATCCTTTTTTAATGTCATTTAGCCGTCCATCTATTAAATCGTATGTAGCTTATTTACAATGAATACAAAATGTGCACATTTTTTAAAGAACTTTTCCTCTACTTATTAATACTAACTATTTTGACCTGCTAAATGCTAACTTGACAAGCTGATTACAGAACACCAAAGCTTGATTAAGAAAATTTATCATGAACTTATTAAAAATAAGTCATGGGCAATTATCGAGCTACTTTACGTTGAATATAATAACCAGCAAGTTTTTCTTTATCATATTCGGTGACTTGATTGCAGGGGGAAATCGGCATAATCCACTTTAACTTTCTAATGACCGCGGGAACTGGCATCTAGACGGCCATCTAGACTACCTATGAAAAGCTCAAGCATATAAAGGATAAAAAAAGCTAAAGCTGAATTTTAACGTTTAGTTTACGGATATTTCAATGCGTTCAACTGCCTAAGGGCAGACAAAATCAATTTATTATCAATGCATTTAATACGAGGATATCTCATATTAAAAAGGGGTGTTTTAAGCTTACAAATAACGCTGTACCAAACTTGAGAGGACGATAAATCAACACCGTCATTATTCAACACTAACTTGGGCAGTGAAAATGCTCTTTTTTAACATCTAATTTCTTCAAAATGACTCTTTAGAATCCACGCCCTTTACCATTTTTTGTGGACTGCTTTTTCTTGTAAGGGCGTACTATGACTATGTTAATATTATTAGCGGAAATCGGATACCACCTTAACATCAAGTACAAGTAATTCTGGTGTGTAAATTGGCCGTGGGAATACAATTACTGCTCGGCAGCTGCTAATCGTCTTTTTCCGCTGCATCTTTTGCGTTGCAAATGAAGCGGGAGTGCGTGGGTGAAATGCTTGTTAGCGAAATGTCAGACTTGAGTTAAGGGAATTCCCAATAGTAAAGATTTCTTTCATGAGGAGTGACATGGTGATTTAGTCAAGCAGTGCCTTATGTCAAGGAGCGTTGAGGCACTTCTGAGTGTTCAGGAGGAAAGAGAGTTCCCTGAGTTTCTGTTTATCTACTATATTTTCCCAAAACTAAGACAGAGAAGCCAGCACAATTTGCTGTTACTTGCTTTACCACCGTTGTTGATTTACGTCCCAATGATTGGCATGGGAAAAGTGATAATACGATGAGGCAATGCCGCTGTCAAAAATTATCAACTGCCGCGTTTCACACACCCACTTACCCACCCATTCATATAAACCGCCATTGCTGGAGAAGCAAGCCGACATTTTGACACGTAGATCGCAATGTCCGTTTGCACAAAATGTGTAGGCCTTGATTCATGTCCTCCACAAACTAAATCACAAAACGTCGCCTTTGACCTCCTTATCGCAAAGAACATGTGAGTAGATTAACTCTGCTATTCCTGTCGCTATCCAAATACCAGTAAACTGGGATTATTCTGAACTGTGGATACATAGTTTAACTTACACAACTAGATATAAGATTTGCGTAGTCATTATTGTGTTACAACAAAAAATGCAAAAAAATTTTACTTTGGGTTATATTTATTCCGCTCTAATTGATCATCGCTAGGCTGGCATCTTTTATTTTAAGCCACTGATAAGACGTAGAGTGATGATAGCTGATGCTTATCTATTTCTAAATTGATCAACTTGTGAAAAGCATCGCTTTTTGAATTGTACATTCGATGTCAACTTTATCGTGCTATCCACATCGATCCCGTTCCTTCTTTTTAATACATTGCAAGTTGATGTGGAGTGTTTCTAACATCAATTGCGTTAGACCATGGATATAAAGCTTAGCACCTCGGGACATTTATGAAGCGGCAACAGACCATCACCTTTGTAAAAGCGGTTTTATCACTAATGCAGGGGTGAATTGAGGCTAGAGAGCAAGTGGCTGAAACAAAATTTCAATCTGTGTAAATGAAATATCAAAATACCAGAAGATGAATTCTGCAAACGCCTTTATCATTAAGAGTGGTTTTGGTTTTCATCTCTCATGCAAATATAGTGGGATTCATGACATGGGTATATCTTTTCAATCCCGCTTAATTGCGTAATACTGACTGAAAACATGAATATACTAAAATTTGTCGGATCCGTGTGAATGAGAGTGCTATGGTAAAGGGCGTGCATTGGCTATAGTGGAATAAGAATAGGAAAATTGCTGTGCTAACTAATTCTGGCAGGAAAATTGTAGGTTTGTCAAGAAGATGGGTAGAGGAAGAGGATTTGGGAATGGTTAAGGATGAATGGGATTAGTCGAGAAAAGGAAGAGTAAATGTTGGGTGAGATCCTTTTGTTACAGTGGCAAGGTGAAGAGCAGGAGGACGGGGGGATGGTAGTGAGGGTGTGAATGAACCTTATACCGCAGGGGTGAAGGGATATAAAATCTATGCCGAAGATTTGAGAGACTTGAGCTAAGAGCACTCCTAATGGTACAGATTTTTGTCGTCAAGGATGACATGGTAAATAGACCAAGGTACACGGGGAGTAATTGACTGGAAAGCGGTGCT